ACACACATAGACCCTCACAGACACACATACACACACACAGACACTCATTTGACACACATAGACCCTCACAGACACACATACACACACACAGACACTCACAGACACACACAGACACTCACAGACACATATAGACACTCACAGACACACATACACACACACACAGACACTCACAGACACACAGACACACACAGATACTCACAGACACACACACTCATAGACACACACAGACTCAGATACACACAGACACACAGATACACACAGACACACACAGACATACATATGCAAGACACACACACACACACACACAGACACAGGCATGCACAGAAATAGACACATGCATCACGCATCATTCACACACACACACGTGCACACACAGGTCTTGACAGGCATGGTGTTTGATGCTGAGACGCGTCTCCTGGCAGAAAGGCGCCTCCAAGGCCATTGCAGGAAGTGGTGTGGCTCCCACCGAGGCAGGTGGCTGCATCCTCCCAGCTCTCACCAGTGGGCATGGCCTGCAGAAGGGCCCGAGCCTAGAATTTCCACCTAAAGGCCGGGCTCACGCCGGGAGCCGCAGTGGACACTCCTGTGCCATCACAGGTTCTGTCCTGCTCACAACCGCCCTGTGCTCCTCACGTTGGCACCAGGTTCCAGCTCGGCCAAGACAGTGTGACAGATCGGAAACGCCGATCCCAGCTGCCATGTGGTGGCTCCACGGGGGTTAAGAAAACCCGGTGGCGACAGACTAGTGCCCGGCTCAGTGGCTCGCCACGTGCGCGCACACGGTATTGGGCCCCACGGCACGGCTGCACGGAGCTGAGGGCGGCGCGTCTCTCTCTGGTCTCGTGACCTGCACCAGGTGGACGTGACTGTGGAGCCACCAGAAAGCTCGACCCTGGTTGGGAAGTAGCAGATGCTGGGTAACCCACGCGAAAGGTTGTACTTGCCTGCAGTGAACAATTATTGGACAAGAGCGGCCTTTGTAGCACTTGTTTACTTTTCTGAAATAAAAAGAGACAGGAATCACAGTTACGCACTGCGACGTCTCCGCCGCGTTAGCCAAACCACCACTAAACCAAAGCAAACACACCGCAGCTGGGCGCCCGTCTGCGGCAGCTTGAAGAAATCGAAATCACACACACATTTTCAAAGGTTTCTTTTTCTTTTCAATATTCAGTGATAAACAGCTTTAGAAACCGTCAAACAGTTCTTGCACGTTCCCTTGTTCCTTTCCCCTTTACACGCATGAACTCAAGGCCTCAGGTCGAGGGGCAGCAGCGCCGCCACCGGGGCCCTTTCTCTCGTTCCTACAGTTAATCGCACCTTTTTAAAAACTGTGATGGGTGCCCAGACTCCTCCCTGAATGTGTGAGTTCTGTAATATCTGCTCAAAATCCCTTACAATCTAGACATCGTGTCGGAACGGAACACTATTATTCTGTCTCCGACAGCGCCTTACAGGGACCCTTTGGAAATGTGGCTCTGAAAGGGTGTCTAATGATGGAGAAACCGCAACTGCATTCAAGACAAGCCTTCCCTGTAGAGAGCCCCTGGGACGGCACATGGGCATTTCTTTAATAAACTGTCAGCTGAATCCAGGGCGGTAGGCATCTTGGATACGCATCTTGCCAAAAAGGCAGAAGTGTTCTCAGCTTGACCTTCATTTCTGCCCAGGTGCGTGGGAGTGGGTTTTATTATGTAAATCCAGCCAAGCACCCGGAATGAATAGGACTCGGGCCCATCTAAGAATGCACATAATCTCCTTTGTCTTGACCTTTGGTGAAACTTCCTGGTATTTGGGGTATAAAATAAACACGCTGGGTGCTGGGTCCCTGTCTCTCCATCAGAAGAGGGCAGCGGTCCCACCCGGCCCCAGCTTTTCCCTTCCATCTCTGTGTCTGTCTCTTTCTTTCATTTTCTCAATCTCCAGCCGCCCCTACTCAGGAACCGGACCGCTCTCTAGCCGCGCTGGACGTGGAAAAGAGAGAACCCTCCATGCTTCCCATTTCAATAAATTTGGGGATGTTTGGAAACAACTTCATTGTGCAGATTTTAGGTCAGAATTTATGAAAATCAACAAGAAGCATAGATTGAGATTTTATAACTACATCAAGACAGAGGCTCATCTGAAATTCACTGTGCAAACTCCAAAATTGTTTAAGCCAGTGAGACAAGCCAGCCTGTTTAGAAAGGGCATGAAACTGCTCAGTGGATGGCTCTGAATGAAGAAAAAGAGGAAAGAGGCGGGTCTGGGTCCTGGAAGGAACGGTGAGGGTGTGTCTGGAACTTGTACCGCAGGGGACGTGAGGCAAAGGTGGAAAAGAATAACCGGCCAGTCTTGTTCCTCGTCCTGAAACGGGAACGTGTCACGCTTCTTTGCTTGCTGGCTCAGGGAGAAACAGTGGCTCAGTTGAGTGGGCGTCGTCCCTGCACCGGAAGATTGCCAGCTCGATTCCCGGTCAGGGCACATGCCTGGGTTGTGGGTTTGATCCCAACTAGGGGACGTAGGGGATGTACAGGAGGCAGCCAATCGATGGTTCTCTTTCACAACACATTGATCTCTCTCTCTCCCCCTCTCTTTTCCTCTCTCTCTAAAAATCAATAAAAGTTTTAATCAACTGGCTGCTCTGGTACAAACCCAACAAGCTGAGAGGACAGGATCGGGGGACGGCGGGTGACCGGTTCATGACAAAACCTTGGTTAACCTTGTGCAGCCTGAGCATCGTGCTGTGTTTTCCTGCCTCCTTTAGGGAGTGAACAGACGGGGTACTTCTCAGGGAGGCTGACAGCCCTGAACGCACAAGATGCGCCCTGCACAGGCCATGCACCCACCCGCTCTGGGCAGTTTGGGACTTGCCTGCTGCCTCTGAACACGCTGTTTAAAGCTGCAGGCCCTCCAAAGGTGGCCTAACAATGAGGAGCCTCAGGAACGCAGGTCAACAAGCTGCCCAGTGTCCCCAGGGCCACATCTCCATTTCTGCCGGAACCTTCTTGCTCTGGGTGTACATTGCAACGTTACCCGGGAGTGGTGGGGAAGTCAAGGTGAATGCATTAAAACCCGCAGCGCACGGGAGCCAGATGCCTTAGGGCAGTGATGGCGAACCTATGACACGCGAACTCATTTTTTTGGTTGATTTTTCTTTGTTAAATGACATTTAAATATATAAAATAAATATCAAAAATATAAGTTTTTTTTCTATGGTTGCAAATATCAAAAAATTTCTATATGTGACATGGCACCAGAGTTAAGTTAGGGTTTTTCAAAATGCTGACACGCCGAGCTCAAAAGGTTCGCCATCACTGCCTTAGGGTCTTGGCCCTTTGAGAGTAAAGCAGGTGGAAAGGAGATCCACTCACTTCTCCTGAACCTCCCATTTTTTACTCGAGATGCAAAGGCAACGTGAGCATCACCGCTAGTAAACCGATGCCAGACCTTGTACCCCAAGGGTGAGTACGTGTGTTTGTGCAGGTGTGTGTCCGTATACAAGCACGTTTGTCCATCCATGTGTGTGCATGTTTGCAAATGGGCACAAACACGTCTGTGCGACACACATGATTGTGCACACACATGTCTGTGCTTGCACACACATGTGTATGCATGCGCACACACACATGTGCAGGCAGATGCACATGCACGCACACATGTATCCATTCATGTGTGCATGTTTGTCCACCATGCTCATGTGCATTTGTGCATGTGCGTGTTGGTACATGTGTTGTATTTGTACATGTATGTGCATGCACTGTGCCTGTGTGCGTGTGCAGAATCAAGCAAGCTCAGTGGTTGGGCACAATTAGGTGGCACTATTTCTACAGGTCTTTAATGTTCAAACAGAAGGTTTTACTGGACATTTCTCTGTCTCTGGCTGTTTCCCTTTCCCTTCTCAGCTGCTGGCTCAGCTGTACACCCTCCTTCGCTCCATAGCCCAGGCCCATTTGTAAGGACTACACTCAACATTTCCACGGTCACACACTAGTCAGTCACAGGCTTTGGTCATTTTTTTCTGATGGGCCCAAGCACAAAACATGGACACTGAAAAAAGAAATAAATATAACCAGATGTCCTTCCTTAAACTGGGGGTTCAGAAAACGTGGGTGTGGGGTGTCGCTGCACAGCGCCCCTTTACGGCTGGTCAGCACATTGGCAAAACGTAGCCAGAAAACCTCCCTGGCTCCCGGGGCTCAACGTGCTCTCCCGTCTTCGCTTTGTGATACACTTGAGGTGTTTCCGCCAACGCGTGCTGGCTGCCCGCTCAGCAGCACCTGGAAGGTCTCGTTGTAATTGTAACATCCCTCCAGCCGCCCGTGCTAAGCCTATCGACAAAGGGCCAGGAGACGCCAGTGCAAGTACAAGGTGCTGCTACGCTGTGGAATTTTATTGACAAAGAATCAGGTGCTTGGTTTATTATGAAGTAAAACACCACAACAGAAGAGCAACACCATCGCGCAGTCAACAGAAACGTTCATCTGGTCGACCCAAGACAAGGCAGAGTATCTGCCAAGACGAGCCACGTGAGGCCGCCTCCTTTTACGCCATCAGAACCAAGTGTCAGTGAGCGAGGCCGCACATGGAGACACAGGAGGGCTTCTCGGAGGAAGGGTTAGTGATACAAACCAACCCTCAGTCCCTGAGCGGCAAGGAACAGCAAGCAAGGTCAGAGGTCGTTAGAGGCTCAGAAAGGGTCCCCGCACTGCCCTGCAGTAGAGTCACAGTTTCCAATGATCACTTTTGTGACTATGCAACTGGGCTCATATTACTAGCTGCAACGCCACAAAAATGACACCGGCCACCGCTAATGAGCTGGCAAAGTAAGGGTTTGTCCAGTTTACAGCGAGCAGCGTGAGGGAGCGCACGTGCCGGAGAGAAGGGAGAGGCGTCAGAGCCAAGCCCTCGCCTGTGAAGCCACTGACCTCTGAGCCGAGCAGCTTCCCTCTAAGGTGCAAATATGCCCCTCTGGGCTCCAAAGGTGCTCAGTGACACCTCGCGGTACCTGCCTGGCGCCCTGGCGTGAGCTGCCTGCTATTCCCGGGAAGGGAACACCTTGCTGTGTGGGGGTGGCCAGAGTCTCCAGCCGCCTTCCGGAGCCTGGGCTGTGGGTGCTGTTTACTAATCTGCACAGAGAATCACACAGCCTCCATTGGGTGTGGGCCAACGCCCGAGGGTGCGCTTGGTCACACCGATCTTCTGGTGCCTACGGATGGCGACCTCAGCGGGCCTGTGGTGCAGACAACGAGGCCAGCCCGGGCAGCTTTCCATTCTCACGAGGCTTCAAAACCGTGTGTGGGCGTGTGCTCCCTTCCACGTGACCAACTCCTGCTCAAGCCTGAGCACCCAGCACCAGAGAGAGGGAATTTGGAGAGTCCAATCTTTCAGTCTTCCTTCCTGACAGAAAGTGCAGACGGTGGGCTGTGTGGTTAATTCCATATGTAGACACGGACACCGAAATAGGCCCATATGCACATATGAACACACAGGACGGACACACAGGTGATGAGAGTGGGCTCCCCTCTCTGCAGCCACACCCACCCGCCAGGACTGTCCACTGTCTGAGGACCCGGTAAGGTTTGGGATAGCCTGTCTTTAGACATAAGCCCCTGTTAAGAAGATGTCTGTGATGGCGGGGGAGGAAGGCTGCATGGCCACCGTGTCAGTGTTTGGGGCTCGCAGTGTCCCGCCCCCGCAGGAGGGGACGGGGCAGCGGACGCTGGGTGCACCTGTGGCCATGCTTACGAGGAAACGCACATCTCGCCTCCAGCTCTCACATGCCACAGGGTCCAAAGAGCTAGTCACAGGAAGACATTTATTTTTCCAAAGTGGACTAAAAGGCAAGAGAAATAGTAACACCAGAACCTAAGAATCTGTTAACACACGAATCAAGGACTCTGGGTGTAGCCTGAGGCTGGGAAGCCATCCGGGACTGTGTGATGCCGGCCACACCCTCTTCCTGGTCAGTTATCTGACTTCCTTAGGAGGCAGGAGGCCAGCGGATGAGCACCTGAGGTTCTGCAAACCTGTGGACTTAGTGACCGATGGTGCTCAACCTCATCTTCCCTGTTGTTGTTGTTCATTTACCACCGCTACAGAGCCAATGCTCACCTATTCTTGTCATCACATTTGATGCACAAGGAACCTTTGTCTTAAATTTTGCTTTTTTTTTGCATCGTCAACATCTTCCTGCCAGAGGGATGGAACCTCACATTCCTCCCAGCGGTTCAATTAGTGCACATTCAAGCAAGACAGCCCACTGGGTGACTAGAGCATGAACAAAAGCCTGGATGTTTTAAAACTGTCAGTTTCAAAATTGCACTGAAAACACACAGTCACGTGCTGACGGTACCCCGGCGTCCCGCCAAGGCGACCCATTTTAGAAGCCGGGCCCACGCTTGCTTGCGAAGCCGTCAGATCCAACCAGACAAGTGTCCACACTAAGAGGCGGGCTTTATGCCCGAGAGCCTGAGGTGGAGACTCCAGGGCCTCCATCGCGTGGAGGAGGAGCATGCGGCAGGGCTGACGAGACCACAGTGTCTGCGACGGCCGGGCACCAGGCACCGGAGGGTCGCTTTGCAAATTATATAACTGTCTGACCACAATGCTGCACACACGAAACTAACAAAAACAACGCTGAATGTCAGCTGTAATTAAGAAACCACCGCCCGGCCGGCGTGGCTCAGTGGTTCAGCATCAACCTATGAATTAGGAGGTCACGGTTCAATTCCTGGTCAGGGCACGTGCCCGGGTTGTGGGCTCAATCCCCAGTGGGGGCGTGCAGGAGGCAGCCCATCAATGATTCTCTCTCATCACTGATGTTTCCATCTCTCTCCCTCTCCCTCCCCCTCCCTCCCTCTCTGAAATCAATAAAAAGATTAAATAAACAAAATTCTAAAAAAACCCCTAAAAAACAGAAAAACCATTTTCCCCTACAATTCTAAGATACCAAGTCCCCCCTCACGATTTCACACCTGAGATAAGAAAGCCTCTTGTAATTAATAGACTTAACATAATCCTTCCTCTGCGGTCTCTCCTACATAAAATGCACTTATAATCTGTGCGTATCAAACGGAGGGCCCGCCTCACAGCGGGCGGCGTGCGGCCCCGGCAGCCTGCCCTCGGCCTCGGGCGCAGGAGCGCGTTACCCCGCGGGGCCCCGGGCCCTACCTGCGGAAGTCCAGGAGGGACCGCGTGGAGGACGGCACGCCCTGGTCATACCAGCTCAGGAAGTGGAACTGGGTCACCGTGCGTGTCTCGTTGGTCTGCAGGTTCTTCAGGTAGAAGCTCCGCACCAGGAAGTCGTCGCACCAGATGTGCTCAGAGACCAGGTTCACCTGTGGGACAGCGGGGGGCGGGGGGGGGGGGCAGGTGTCGGCGACACAGAGACCGCGCGGCCCACAGACCGGGGCCCTCTGTCTCAATTTCATCCCGGTTGGTACAAAAAGTAACTGTGGCTGTTGGTTTTTGATGTCATAGAGGGCGTAATGCTCAAACAACTGGAAAAATGTGTTACAATCCACAACCATTCCAGGGTTTGTCTTTTGTATTTCTAAGTCATACAAGCCTTCTAGAAAAAATCACCATTTGAACAGAAAGGCCAGTGGTCCACGGGAGCTCGCCTGTGGCAGGTGGCATCCCCGGGCCTGAAGGAGCCGAGGCCCCGGCCCTGGGGCCTGCTGGGGCTGACGCCCTCGGTGACCAGGAGCCACGAGGGAGAGCCAGGGTTCATCTCTCTGCTTCCGACATGGCTCCCCCGGGACCGAGCACTCTGAGTTCAATGCAAGGCAGAGCCAAGGGAGGGCCTGACTTAGCTGCCCAAGTTTACGGCTCCGTCCCGGTCCCGGACGTGGGCTGGAAATCCAGGAAGAGAAGTGCGCTCGCCGGCATGTCCCCCTCGAATATAAAGGCCGACAGGGCGGTGGGGACCCTGGTGCGGGGGGGTCAGGAAGCAATGAGAGCCATGGCAGGTCTGTCTAGAAGCGGATCCTACAGCCTCGCCCAGCCCGGCTGCACACAGCACCCGTGAGGCCACTTCCTCGTCCTCGCTGTCTGCATTTTAGAACTTCAACCGTGAGAGCCATGTCATTCACGCCAGGTCCCAGTCCCAGTCCCAGTCCCAGCCCCAGTCCCAGTCCCAGTCCCAGCCCCAGCCCCAGCCCCAGCCCCAGCCCCAGTCCCAGTCCCAGCCCCAGTCCCAGTCCCAGTCTGAGTCCCAGGGTCCGAGTCCCAGGGCGCAGCCTGTTGGAGGCCTGAGTGTCACTGACCACGGGGCCCAGGGGACACCTGGCCCAGGGGCTGGCCCCTGTGGGGACCTGGCTGCAGGTGCGGCTTCAGGGGGACGGTGGCCAGTACCTCGTAGATGTGGTAGAGGTTGGAGCCCTCGTCGGGCCAGTAGTGGTAGCACTGCCGGACGCCGTTCTCCGCCAGCGGGGTCAGCATGACGACGACCACGCAGCCGCTCTCCCACACCATCTGCAGAGGGAAGGCCAGGTTACGCGCTCCCAGGACCTGAGCCGTGTCATCGACACATGCTCTGTGCTCGCGGCTCTGAGCCCGCGTTCAGGTTCTGCACGTTCCATGAGCTAGTGAAAGAACCGGCGAATCTGTGCCTGTAAAGCCCCCTCAGTTCTCGGGGGGCCGTTCGATGCCCAGTTTTGCTCTTTGAAGGAAACTTCCCACCAAGAGACACAGACCCCGCGGGGCCTTCCCTGCTGAGCGGAGGGAACGGCGCGCCCTCCCACAGCAGCTCGGTGGGGGGCACGCCCGTTCTTCAGGGTGGCCCCGATTCCGTGTGACGCGAGAAGCCAC